CCCATTAGGACTTTAGACAAGCCCAGGATAGATACCAACCCACCAATGGTTCATGCAGACCTAGTAAGGGGGCATCTGGAGGGGCTAAATGTATTTAAGTCAACAGGCCCTGATGATCTTCACCCTAGGGTATTTAGGGAATTAGCTGGAGTCATAGCAGACCCGCTGGCACAACTGTTTGAGCACTTGTGGCACTCAGGACAAGTCCCAGAGGATTGGAAAAGTGCCAATGTGGCCCTATTTTCAAGAAGGGGAGGAAGGAGGAACCAGGTAACTATAGGCCGGTTAGCCTCCCCTCTATTTTTGGCAAGACCTTTGAGAAAATAGTAAAAGATCACATTTGCGGGGGACCAGCGGGTAAAGTGATGGTAAGAGGCAATTAGCATGGGTTCATAGCAGACAGATCCTGCCTGACCTACCTAGTTTCATTTTATGACCAGGTCACAAAATGCTTGGATGAGGGAACAGAGGTAGATGTTGTTTACCTAGACTTTAAAAAGGCCTTTGACATAGTGTCACCCAATTCTTATAAATAAACTAAAAAACTGCAATGTAGATTATTACACAGTCCAGTGGGTGGAAAATTGGCTTATGGGATGCACCCAGAGAGTGGTGGTAGATGGGTCGGTTTCTACCTGGAGAAATGTAGGCAGCAGAGTCCCCTAAGGCTCTGTCCCAGGACTAGTACTATTCAATATTTGTATTAGTGACTTGGATGAGGGAGTAGTAAGCACCCTGTCCAAGTTTGCTGATGACACAAAACTATGGGGGGAAGGAAGAATCATCAGCACTCCTATAGTCTGGGAGGGACCTTTCTAAGCAGCACAACTGCAGACAGGGACCTCGGAGTCATAATCAACTACAAAATGAACATGAGTCACCAGTGTGATGAGGTAATAAGTAAAGCTAACTGCACTCTTTCTTGCATAAGTAGGTGCATCACAAACAGGTCCAGGGAAGTGATACTTCCACTCTATGTGGCATTGGTCAGGCCGCAGCTGGAGTTCTGCATCCAGTTTTGGTCACTGCACTTCAGGAGGGATGTGGATAACCTGGAAAGGGTTCAGAGGAGGGCCACCTGTCTGGTTAAAGGCCTACAGAAAAAACCCTATGTGGACCAGTTGGGAGACGTGAACCTCTTTAGCCTCCACAAGAGGAGGCTGAGAGGTGATCTTGTGGCCGTCTAAAAACTCATCGGGGGGGCAGGGGGAGGGTGGGGGGGATACGATGTTTACCAGGGTGACAGTCAGGGTAACTAGAAACAATGGGCACAAGTTAAAAGAGAGCAAATTCAGGCTGGACATCAGGAAAAAGTTCTTTACAGTGAGGGTTGCCAAAATATGGAACAGGCTTCCAAGGGAGGTGGTGTTGTCCCCTTCCTTGGAAACGTTCAAAAGAAGATTGGAAAAACACCTGGCTGGGGTCATCTGACCCCAGCGTTCTTTCCTGCCCAGGGCAGGGGGTCGGACTCAATGATCTAATAGGTCCCTTCCAACCCTAATAACTATGAAACTATGTCCGAATCATCAAATCTCTCCACATCAATTCAAAGGATTACGATTCGATTCGGAGAGATTAAAGGGTCTCCTGATTTGATTCGGATTCAGAGATTCGGCCGCCAATCAGGCCAAATCTCTGCCAAATCGAATCAGCTAATGAAGCTTTGCACAGTCCTAATGACTTATATAAAGGACCACCCAGACTTCTAGTTAAATCTCCCATCCTGTTCCTGCTTTAAAAGAGCTGTCTCACTCTCTTCTCTCCGGCTTCTTGGTGTGTACAATAATGGTTTGCTGAAATTTAAATATTTTAAATAGGATCACCAGATCACAACCCTTTTATATATGTTGGGAGATTATAGTTAAACTAATAGTACTCATTTGGAAAATGAGGCTACTAATTGGCCAAGTCCACTAGCTGAATTATAAAAGGACATTGTTAGTCTAAGTAATCGAATCACTTAAAAGTCCACTGTTACCATGTGACCTGATCAGAACAATGGGAATTCATAGTCCTTTTTGTGGATCTAGGAACTAGTAGCAAAAGGAAGCAAATTAAAATAAATAAATAAATAAAAGTGCTAATCGTAATTGTGTAGAGAAACAATTAGGAAGAGTTTGTAAATATAATATCCACTGCAAGCAGACAATAATTATAAATAGATCAATGTCAGAATGGTCAGAGGTATCAAGTCAGGTTCCACAGGGTATGCGTCCTGTGTTGTTTATCTTCTTTACTGGTGATGTAGATTGCTAATAAAAGGAACAGAGGGCTTCACAAGTTTGAAATTGATACAAAATGAGGACCGACTGCAAACATTTTGGAGGATAGAAATAGAATTCAAAAGGAACTTGATAGACTAGAGACCAGGGCATTAGACATCAGAAGAAAATTAAGTGAAGAGAAAGTAAAAATGTCAGGTGTTACACCTAGGCAATGAGAGCCAAGTGCACAAATACAAAAGAAGAGATGACTGCCTAGGCAGGAAAACTACTGAGAAGCACTGAGTTTTAGAGCAGCGGATTCAACATGAGCCGGCTCCATGATGCAGTTGTTCAAAATTGCACGTGCTTTTTCAAGTGTATTAACAAGAATATTGTATGTTAAGCAAGACGGGTGATAGTGCCACTCTACTTAGTGCTAGTTAGGCCTCAGCAGAAGTATTGTGGGCAGTTCTGGGTTCTGCAGTTTAAGGATACAGAGAAACTAGAAAGGATCCACAGATGAATGACAAAGATGATCATAGAAATTTAGGGTTGGAAGGGACCTCATGAGGTCATCTAGTCCAGCCCCCAGCACAAAGTAGGATCATCCCCGACTAGATCATCCCAGCCAAAGCTTTGTATAGCCAGGTTTTGAAAACCTCCAAGGATGGAGCTTCCTCCACCTCTCTGGGTAACCTGGCTACAGTGTATAGAAAAAAAAATTAGCCCAGCCACGGCCATAAACTGAGACTTAAGATCACTTGCCCACACCCAGACTTAAATTGCCAGCCTTTTTGTTCCCAGCTCACAACTCAAGCCCTTCAGCCACAGAAGAGGCCTAACATCCATAAAGGGATAAAATTCAGTGCATCTTAGGAAAGGTGAGAAAACTTGGTATGCTGGGGAAAAAGAGAGTAGGAGACCCATGATAGCAGCTTTCATATATGTGAAAAAATTCTATGAAGAAGGGGAAAAATAAAGTGTTCTCTCTTGCTGTAGAGAAAGGCACAAAGCACAGTTTTTACACTGAAGGAAAGCACATTCTGATTAAATCTCAGAAGAAAGTTACTTCCTGTCAGAACAGAACATGCTGCCTATTACAGGCTTTCACGAAGAGACTGGTAAGGCATTTGTGTGGGGTGGCATAGGAACAGCATGTCCTGCATTCATGCAGAGGCCTGAACTAGATGACCCTTGGGGCGCTAGTACACATAATGGGGGTTTAGTCCTCAGGGTTTTATTTTATGCCTCCTAAACTGAAAAGCTGGGGCACAAAATAAAACACTGAGGACTACATTGTTTCAATTTTTCCATCCCATTACAGTGAGGGGCCTGATCCTTTTTTTTTTTTTTTGGTCAGAGCTGAAGCCTGCCTGCAGCTGGGAAGCAAGCTGCTGGCAGGCTGAGCAGTCCCCGAGCTGCAGGGGACCCTGGTCCTTCCCCCCGTGGGGCTGCCTGAGTGGCTGCTAGTGGGCTGGGTGCTGCCTCATCTCAGACTCAGCACCCAGCCAAATCCAACTCTTCCTTGACCCTGAGCTGGAGCAGTACCCAGCCTGCTAGCAGCCCACGTGGGTTGCCCCTGGGGACACCACCACTGCAGAAGGAAGGATTGGAGCCCCCTGCAACTCAGGGGCAACTCAGCCCCCCACCCCCCCACCCCCAAGCTGCAGGAGAGGTGAGCGGCTGCCTCTACATCCAAAAAAAAAAAAAGATCAGGCTCCTCACTGTTTCTGCAGCCTCTTGCAGCCATCAGGATATCTGGAGCTGCCCAGAAACAGGTTGTCTTGCCCCTGGGGCAGTGTGGAAAGGTGACAGAAGGGTGGCTGGGTTTGCTGGTGGCTGGAGAAGGTGGCAGGAACAATGCATGGGGTGCGAGGCCACCCAGGCAGGCTGCTAGCTCATCGGGTCCTGCCACAGCTCGGGGGCACCCGATCCAACATTTCCCTGAACCCACCCAAGCTTCCAGTGCCTCATGCAACATCCCCACTGCCTTCTCCAGCCACCAGCACACCCAGTTTGCCCCAGGAGCAGCATGGGAAGGTGGCAGGAAGGTGGCTGGGTGTGCTGGCAGGGACAGTGCACGGGGTGCTAGAAGTCCAGGCTGGCTCAGGGAAGTGTTGGATCAGGTGCCTCCAAGCTGGGGCAGCACCTGGCCAGCAAGGAGCCCACCCAGGCTACCAGTGACCCATGCACCACCCCCGCCACCTTCTCCAGCCACCAGCAAACCCAGCCACCCTCCTGCCGCCTTCCCATGCTGCCCCAGGGGCCTATGCATCCTGCCAGCCTCAGAAACCTGCTGAAGGCAGAAGCACTGAGAGGCCTGATACTTTTTATATTTGACGGAGCCTACCCACCTATCCTGTGGCCAGGGGGGTGAGCTGCCTGCTGCAACATTGCAAACTAAACTACATTGGGATGTAGTTTAGTTTGCAATGATACAAACTCACTTAAAACTTCAAAAACTCTTGCCATGTATAGTGTGATAACATTAAGCCACACAAAGTGATACCTTCATCACATGTACATGGCAATGGCATCATGTGTACAAATGCCCTTGATGCACCTTCCAATCATATGACTCTTTGAGACTAAATAAAAAATGGAACTAACAAGATAAATCTCCTTCAATAATTCTCTTGTGTATTGTTTCTCTATCCCCATGCTTTGTAAGCTATTCAGTGCTTTCAAGATTGTAAGCTATTCAAGTCAGAGACCACATTTTTCTGTCTTTGCACAGTGCCATGTAAACAAAAATGATCAGCTGAAAAAGGTCTGTAGACTTTTTTCATTGCTTACCTTGTGTGAAATTGAAAGCTCCTACTCCATCAATAGTACCTGCAGCAAAGCTGTAGCCCAAGGCCGGTTTACATGTTTTAGCCTTAATAAAAGTATTATTAAAATTAGGTTATGTACTTTATCACCTCCCAGTCTAACAATATAACAATTTTTCATTGAGAATTACTATGAGAGTTCCTTAATTTTACCCAAGAAAGGTCATAGTACTTACTGTGTGTGTGGCATTGAACTGGACGGTGACATCACTCATGTTTACCCACTGGTGAGCTGAACTTAGATTTCCTGTTATCTCTTGGGAAGCTGTTGCATACAGTTCCTAAAACATATACTGTATTTATTAAAATTAGATACAACCTTCTGCAAAGAATCCATTTATTGAAATATAGCAAATGGCATTTAAAAATAAATGCAAGGCAGACAAATTATTTTGGTGAAGACTCAGCTCCCTCCAGGGCAGCTAAAGGACTGATGGGTTCTAGGTGGAAGTAATGATGCACCTAAATCTAGGCCATGTCCTAGACTGCTGAGATGTAGTTCATAATCTGCTGAATCCTTGCTGCACTGTCAAATATCACTTAGGGCATAAGAACAAGGTTCCAGACCCAAGTATCATCTTATGCCACTCTCTGTATGTCCCCTTTCTCTCTTTCAGAAGGATGGTTTTAGTCAGTGTCCTTTGTGCATTTCTTCCATTTCACAACTAAAATGTACATTTTATTCTACAATTGGGAAAGACGAGCTGGACCAACTATACAGTTGTTTCAGTAAAAGATATCACAGAAAAACCCTTTCATCTCATACATTTCCTGAACTACTACAGCTACAAGAACATTCTAGCTCTAAAATTTTATCCTATTGAAATGGCAGCTGATATTTTTGTCCTTCTGCTCTTTTATAATCTGTGTTGACAGTGTTCCTAATAGCACCATTAGTGAGTTAATGAATCTATCCTTTTCTATAATTATAAGCAGTACTCAATGGTTACATGCCTAAACTCACTTTACTCATCCATGTTGGCTAACCAAGTAGGGTTCTGTACAATACCCTATCTGAAAATAAATTATCTAGGCCGAGTACAGACGTTATACTTATACTGGTATAAGTGATTGGAAACTGGTCTCCCACCTAACTGAACAGAAGTTCAGCATATATAGACTGGTTTAAAAATGGCAGGACCCAATCTCAGATAAGCCTGGATGGATTTGCTCCAAAATAATATCAGACTTAGTGATTTATGTCAGACTGGTCTATTGAACTTCTGTACTAGATCCCTTAGTGACTCAAGTTAGGTTGCAGTCCTTCAGCATCCCAGGCTGCTTTGCAGGCCCATGCTAACCCCCACCCTTCACAGGGTGGCATGCTAGCCCCAGCCTGTGCTCTTCTGCTCTAGCTTTCACAGAAACAGCTGCAGGCACAAGGTGGGGCTGCACTGGCTGTCAGCAGTGGCCAGGTAGCAGGGCGGGGGTAGCCCCAGCCCAAGCCAGCATAGCTGGGGGTGGGCTTGCACAGTGGGGTCCTCTGCTCCCCTCTCTACTGCCAGGCCTGATTGACAGCCAGTGTGGCCCCCAGCACCACCTCCTGCATGTAGCTGTCAACTGGGCTGGGCAGCAGAGGCCCTGACATGCAGTGCCCCCCTCCTCCCCAGATGGGCTGGCTCAGGTCTGGAGGAGCCAGGGCTCAGTCCCTATGGCGGGGACCTACTCTCCCTCCCCCACTCCACTGCTGACAGCTTGCTGCTGGTGGGGGTAGGGGGGATGAGGGGAGGCTGGGGAGAGGGACCACTCTGGCCAATTGGGGGTGGCCAGCTGCTCAGCTGGGCTCAGCATTCCCTGGCAGCTTGCTGACAGGCATGCAGGAGTACCCCCATCCTGCTGACCTTGGCCAGTACAGGCAGTCTGCATGCCTCACCCACCAAAGGGTAAACATCTGTTCTGTTTGCTTTTGGCCTAACCTGGGGCTCTTAAACTACAGCATGAAACTCAGATTGCTTCTGCCTCAGGCCTGGATTCTCTGCTACTTCCATGGCCTATAATTACAAATAAGTTACCCTGAGGCATAACCTTGCTGCTTTTTCCTAGTTACAGGAATTGCCTCATTTTCCATTCATGAGCATATAACTATAGCACCTACGGCTGTTGCTTAAACAGAGGAATAATATTGTGAAAGAATTGAATATATTTATATATAGATTTAATGCCATTTAGCATCTGGAACAAGGGACAGAACCAATGAGCACTACATGTCCGGCTGCTTTTCTGGAAATCAGAAGCAGACTAAGGGCCTAATTACATGTTAATTTTACGCAGCTCCTAAAGCTTTTAACCTGGGGATTGTCTGCACATTAATATCTTTAAGTGGCAGCTCAGAGTTATGCTAGTCCAGGACAGGAGCTGCATAACCCAGCTCCTGTTCTACATAACCCAGGTACTCCACACAGATGTGCTGCTGAAGTTGAAGGTGTCACCACAAGCTAGCACCAAACTGATTGGCATTTGTGTGGTTCACAGTATAACATATAAGAATGCCGTACATTTTCAGTAACCTCTAAACTCCAAAATAGTCATCATCTTTGTTGTTCAAAAGCAAATCAGGCCTAGAACTTCATATGGGTTTTAGTGAAAAATTATACACAATGAAGATGTTGGACACTGAATTAATTGTTTATATATCTAAAATCTTGTGAATTTAGTTTCTAAATTTAATAGCAAAAAGAAAGTCTCAAGTTAAGCAAAAAGAGATGTCTCTATCAGTCTGTAGTCAAGGCACCATTTCTGTCCTTTTAACACCACTCTGGATTACTGTCTTCCTTGTACTTAATTGCAAATACCTTGCCCAAATGGATAGCCTCTTCACTAGATATATAATTCTAATTTGTTCATTAGCTATTCACAACCAAAAGATAGCACTGTGTTTACTCAGTTCCAAGACAAGGTTTTTCCCCCATTCATCACAGGGAAAACAAAATCTTGTCTTAGAATCGAGTATCGAACCACGCCAGCTGGGAATTGGAAGCTGGGAGGAGCAGCTGTGCAGGGAGCCCCGCTGGGCCACAGCATAAGTAGTGTGCAGATTCCTGCTTCCAGAAATTTCTCCCTGCCCAGCTCTCCTCCCTTATCTCCCTTGCTGGCACAGAGCTGGACAGGAAAGGGGAAATCAGAGTGCTGCTGCTGAGGTCTCCAGCCAGCCAGGCTCCCTGCACAGAGGCTCCCCCAGAGCTCCCAGACAGAGTGGTCATGATGCTCAGATGTCACAGGCACAGAAAAGCTCCAAACTGGGCCTGCCCTGTGCTGAAGGGAACAGCTGTAGCCGTGGACAAATTCCTCCTTCCAGCCTGCTCCCAGCCTGAGCGGAGATGGGGGAGGGGAGCCAGGCAGGAAAGGAAGAACTTGTAGCCCTGGGCCTCCCCCCCACCCCTGTGTCCAGATCAGCTCAGAAAACAGTACAAGGGGGAGAAGGCAGGCAGGGGTAGATAGGAAGCAAGTGATGGGGGCAGGCAATGGGGAGGGGTGAGTGGATGGGGGCAAGCACCAGGGGGCAAGGGTCCCCATGTCACTCACCTCTCTGCCACCTGTCACCCCACCCTTGCTTTCCCCAGGATCTCCCCCATTGTCCCGACTCCTACTTTCCCCCCTGACTCTTCCTTCCTCTGCGTTCCCCCTGCAGCTGCTTTCCTGCTGCAGCGGGGGTAGAGAGAGGATGAGAAATTTAAGACAGCTGTCCAATAATTAGATTCTAGACATAGAAAATTATAACAAATGTATAATGTTATATGTTTAGAATCGAGTTATTGGGTGCAGGGGGTCATCTTGGATTTGCGTAAATATGGTATTTTCTTCTTTTTGATGCACTTTTTAATCTTTCAGCAATTAGTAATTTTCTAAAGTACATATATAGAAATAGTATGCATGACGTATTAGAAGTTACACAGATTTGGTAGCATTGTACATAGTACAATTTGCTATGTCATGGGTATACAGAAACTGAACAGGAATACCACCCATAATATTAACATGTTGAAGATTATTTCTCTCTAAATGAATCTCATGCAGGTCCCATTGGACTAGAACAGTATCTTCTGACCTATAAATCACTGTCATTTTAGAGCACTTTTATTGTAAACACTGCAAATAGCAATTAAAAAGAAAACTGCTATAATCAACCCTGCTCTTGTTGCTAATTTATTGGATCTGCTCCAGTTCCTACAAGCTGCTGCCCCTGAATTGCTGAGAGAAATAGTATTACATTTGCTCCTTTGCTGCCTTTGACAAAATACAGAGCCAGTGAAGGGCTACTCCTACACTCTAGTGGGTTTTAGAAGTTAGAAAGGCTTTTACAAAATAACCACTTAATTGTCACAGCTTTTCTGTGATGTGGGTGTCCTCCACGTTTTACAGACTTTTATAAAATCAAAAGCCAAAATTTTCAAACTTTGGGGCCTAATATTAGGCTACTAAATGAAAAATAGCTCAAAAGTTTTATCTATCCTTTTCCTAACTACATAAAGGTGGATTTAGATGCATAGTTATGTATACTATCTTGACTTGGTATAGATATACTATCTTGACTTGAATGTTTTGAGAATGTCTAACAAAGATGATTTTCAGTAATTCACTAAAAAAATCTTGATTTTGCAATTACTGCATTTGAATACAAATTAGAAAAAAAGGTCTAACCTAACTCACCTTTGCTTTCAAATAGATATTTTGCCCTATAATTTTTGTACTGTCGAACATATCAGTGCCAGGACCCACAGCCATGCACATTTTGGCCTGTTAAGAAAAAAAATTAAGTGCAAATAATTAAGTGCAAATTAAAAACATTAATACATAAGACATCCTAGTAGCAGTATGAGGTGTTTATTTTGGAGAAAATGAAAGTACAAATCAGCTTCATTATTATTATGAAGAAATATTTACTTTCAATAAACAACCTATAATCCAGGCAGCAAAAACCTTACCACTGATGTGCTATGCTAAGGCACATATTTTCAGTAGCATTCTAGTGCTAAATGTCATGGAAATTCTGCAGCAAATGCACTAAGTTCCAAAATGGAAGATTTTGAATTCAGTACAATTTTTTCTACATCATTAACTATGAGGTGATATTGAATTCATTTTATGCTGGGCTAAAGTTTTCTGTGGAGTTTGTACAGACCATGCAATGACTTATTAAAGGTTTCAGTTTACATCTGTTTACCATCCAATGCCTTTGACACAATATGTAGTCTCTCTCACAGTGGAAAAATATGCTACGGGAGGAAGTGGCTGCCCTAACAAGACTTCTTAACCCATGGGCTCTAGGTATGAGTAACAAGTCCAGGACAAAGTGCTGCCTTACATCTAATTTCTTCAGGGGAAACTAAGATCTGGGCCTGTATTTGCAAGTCTTTAGTTATACATAACCTTTAAGAAAATATATTTAGATAAAATATCATATACTTACCCCACCTACAGGGCAATAACTTTGGGGGTTATCACAAGTCTCTCCTGTGTTTATGCAGTGTGGGCCTTTGGTATTAGGTGACACATCTCCCAGGTTAGATGATGCAAAGGCTGCTACAAAGGAACCCTGATGAAAATGCAAACACAGGTGTTTGTGTCTCAACCTTTTGCAGTGATTGGCATCAATGTACAGATATGACATATCAGATATTTTAATAAAATCCTGGTGATGTAACAGAAGGATGTGAAATAAATACCCATGTAATAAAATATATTTGTTTGCAATTTCTCAGGTGGTCTAATAGAAGGTATCATTTTGGAACCAAGAGTTCTAGATTTTGTATGTAATATCCTGCTGTTGATATTTCCCACAGGACCACAGGCATACAACTGGTAGCAACAGAACAGAGAAATTCTCTGAAGTGACTAATGACAATGGTTGCCAGGTTTTGAGGTGCCACATGAAAGGGATGGTCAGAATAGACTCGGCACCAGCTTTCAAATCAAGCTTCTCCAAAACTGTTAATGCTCAATAATGTGACTAATCACTCTTGAAAATGTAGTCAGAGGTTTTTGCTATAGGGATTCTTTAATTATAACATTTTAACTAAACTTTAACATCAGTGCTTTGGATGTACATAGTAATCCTTGGCCTGAGGATCTCAGAGCCTTTTTAATCTTTCACGTCTCACAACAATTTAGCTGTAGTTGAGAACTGTTATTGTCCCTCAACTGCTGTTCCCGTTCTATAAGGAAGTTAAGGATTTGACCCAGCATCATGCAGTAAATTAAGTTACACCTATGGGCAAATTAACCATCTCTGGCAATGGCACCTTCAAACACACTCTGATGCTCAACGTAGATGTCTCCTAGACTGAAAGCAGCATAGCCTGCTTTTGTAGCATGCTAACTAGCGGTGCTGAGTGACTTCCAATTAGCCTGCCCCTATCCACCTAAATAGATGCGACTACACTGCTTCCACTTGAAAAGGAACCTACCAAAAGCTGCATGGCACACTCATGAACACTGACATGAAGAGTAAGTTTACTGTGTAGACATGGCTTTGTGGCAGATACAGGAATAAAAACCAGGATTCTCGACTTTCAGTTGCAGTCAAACCCAACTCCTTTTTTCTATGTTCTAATAAAGAAATTTTGTCCTGAAATTTAAGTAGCAGACTATTGCTTCAGTGATATTCCCTGAATCATATTAAATGTTCTAGCCAGTGCTCCTATTTTCTCTCTTTTTACCCTCTCTTATTCCCTGTTTCAAATACCCAATCATAGATATTAAATACTAGCAAACATTACTTCTCCTTTTGAATAATTTTCCCACTCTGCCTATTTTTCACTTCGGATTCTATTGGCTGCTGAGTAACTAAGCACGCTCTAAGTTCATGCAATTTATGGGAACCACTGAACACTGCAGATGAATGCTTAAATTAGCATTAAAGTAACAAGTAAAATGTGTGAATCAAGGATGGATCAATGCACCTATATAGTGTGTTCTTTTCTCATACACAATGCTCTTATCTTTCCTTTCAAAGGACATACCTCTCACCACTCCTATACTATCAACTATTTAGCCATGACTTTAAACATGCTCAGCAGTCTAAGTAGTTCTAAATCTAAACTAAGGTATATGGGTCTGAATTAGTGTTGGGTCTGATTCTCCAAAAACTTGCCACATTTTTAACATCCTGTATATGTGTATTCCCACTGAAATTAACAAGATGACTCATTGGTTGCAGGACTGAGGTCTTGTTTTTTTTATAAAAGCTTTTATAAACTGTGCTTCTATGGACACACTAAGAAACCTCATTATTTAATTCCCAACCCATCTTGAGTTTAAAATTTGGACTCCATCTAACAATATGAGGCTCCCTTTCCAGTTCAGATAGGGTAATTAGAAGGGTTAAAAAAATTCTGCTAGGTAAAAAAAAAAAATCAGTTTAAATAGAAGACGTAAATAAAGCAGCCACTTTTGTCAGTTTTGTTTTTGTTTATCTATTTGGACAAAATAGTTTGAAAGATTTGTGACCACTTACACTTCACATTTAAATGTCAATGGAAATACTTTTTTTGGTTTTTTTAAAAAGAATAATGTGGACCTTCAGGTTTTGAAATCCAAACACTGGACATTCCCGAGAATGTACACAAATCAGACATGGATCCAGAGGGAAAATGAGTATAAAAGCAGGTAAAACAGACCAAGGCCCTGATCCTACAAATATTTATCCACATGCTTAGTTTTATGCCTGTGTGTAGTTTCCATTGGAACAAATATACTTTGGAAAACTGGATACGTTTAAAGTTAGAACAAATTTTGAATCTAATCGTATTAAAATCTACTCCATGTTGAAGTGCTTCCAATTACAATTTTGGGAAGCAAATATACAGCGGCTGCCTTGCAGTGTCTCCTTTCTATTATTAGAAAAAGCAGTTGCCTTGTAATTTTTTGTCCCTATAATTAGAAGAAATAAATGATAAAGTGACTGATGAATCTGTACTGTGTAACTGCTGCATTTATTCTGCTGCTTGGGATCACTGCTTGAATGAGGCAGCTTCAGTCCATAAAAGATATTTTGTTGACTTTTTTAAATTTTATGTTCTCTCCCAGGCCTTGGGGTAGCCATAAAATATTCCAACCTCTCCGGGAAGCAGTCCTTTATTCTTCTCTTGTTCAAACAGGTAAGATGCGTACCCCATGTTGTCGCTATTTACAAGATGATTTGTGTTGTTCATGCTGACTGGGTGAACAGCAAACCAGCTAATAAATAACCAGAAATCAAATATTAATGCAATTCAATTAATACACTCAACGTATGTTATAGCTGTTTTATTAATGCCTTTTTTCTTGGGGTGAGTGGGAAACGGAAAAGGGAGAGACAGTGACAGTAATCTAGAGCTAGATAAATAAATGCAGAGTTCTCCCCATCCCTCATTTATCTCTCCTCCTCTACCTGTATACAAACACCTGGTCCAAATTTCCCTTAGCTGCTGCCAGCTGAGTCATGCTCAAAACCATTTGGAAAACTCTATTATCTCCCTTCTGACAAAGATTACCCAAATGCATGGGATTATGGGAACTGTTGTGGCTGGCCCAAAGTAAGAAGAATGGTGAGGCTGCTGCTTAAGAAGAGAGGAGGGTCATAGAGCCTCAGGACCAGGAAGTTATCTCACCAGGACCCTGAACTGCACCTGAGAGTGTGGACTTTGAGACACTGATAACTAAACTAATCTATGCTCCACCAGTAATAACTCTATCATAAAATACCCTAATGACAGGGCAAACTTAGGTTTGTTGCTTCAGCCTGAACATTCTCACCTGAAACGAGTCAGTTTCTCTCATTTCTATAGCAGATGTTATTAGCTACTGCCTGATACAATGGCAGGCTAAACGCCTAATCCAAAGCTCGTTGGAGTCAGTGGGAGCCATTCTACTGTCTTCAATGGACTTTGGCTCAGACTTAAGTGAATAGGTAACTTGCATATTGCACTATTTATATGCAACTGCTTCCATCATCTTCCTGTTGGAGCTTAAAGTACTTTAGCTACATTCATAGCTTGCCCCCCAAATACACCAGAACAAATTAGCTCACCCATGCTTAAAATCAGATTAGCCTCTTGTATTACTTTGTGCCTTTAGCTACTCATGTACACATACTCACTGCATATTAGAGACTGTGCATGTTTATTCCTGCAGTTTTGGTCTTTTCCCCCTTAAATTTAAAGTATATGCTCATCTTTAAAACCTGCTTACTATTCCCACAAAAGAAAGGTGGTTAATAAAGGGGAAAATGTGTTCTCTCCCCACTACCTATTTCTATGTGGCCAAGCAATTTTGCTCCAACAGCAACAACAAAAACACACTATATAGCAAGAACCACCTGTGGAAATGCTAACCCCCAAACAAAAAGCAAAGAGAATTATCAAGCAGGAGTTTGTAGGCAAACTTTTTTGCAACTGTCATCAATTGGCACCAGCCTCAATTAGTTAAGATGTAAACCTTAAAAATTAGCATCTTTTATAAATAGGTCCTTGTGATGGTTAATGTACAAAGATGTGTGATGGCTCCGTGTGACATGACATGAATTTATAGAAAATCTTGTAGAACAGCTGTACTTCTTCCACACTGAATACTGTCTATGAAACACCACCATACTCCCATATCCCCCTCTTTTAACATGAAGTATAGGGCATAAGCCAATGTATAATAATCTCCCTGTACAATAAAACTTCAGGTTCCCCGTAGTGGAGCTGAACCCTAATCAATTTTTTGTATTCTGAGTTCAATGCCAAAGTTCAAATGTTGGCTAAATCACCTCAAGTTTATTTATTTGCCTGGCTTGGAGGTCACACCTTTGTGCAATGCAGTTCAGCTTCAAATCTCTAAACAGAAAAATGTCCCATTAATATGAACCATTAGACATGGTAACTCACCACATAAGGTCAGGTCACTAGTAAGAAAATGACATGTTTTACATGAAATCCAAAGCATTTTATAAAACAGGATAGTACAAGGGAGATTTTTATGACATTTCAGACCCTTTTCATGGGGGGAAAGAGGGGCCAGTGTGCCCCTCAGCTAGAGGAGATTCCCCTAGTGCAGGTACTATGGAAGATATCCGTCAGGATGCTTTCCAAGGACTACCTTACCAGCCATATACAGTGCAGAAGTGTAGTAGAGGAAGGGTCTAGGTATATGGTGGTGTGGAGACTGTGGGGGATGCTGAAGCCCACAGGAAAGACTGGAGGAAGATAAAGGTAATTTAAAGCTTATTCTTAGATTCACTCCCTTGGCCTAAAGGTTGCATTTGAATGAAGGACAAGGGGGTAAATGTTATTAATGGTTAAAAAATTAAAAATAATGGAATTTATATGAAAGGCATCTTTTGGGATGAAACTACAAGGGCTTGGAGGGAAATGTAGGACTCAGTACCTGATAAAGCCTAGCTCCTGTCCACTCACATCAACCATCTTCAGCATCACCATTTCTTTGTCTGTATTTGATGAATACCTAAATGAGAAAACAGAGAAGCCAATCTCATGCTCTGTAAAAGAGGCATTAAATCTGTAATATAGCAACAATGAAAATGAAGAGACATTAGCAGGTTCTTACTGCTATGTTTAAGGAAAGTCATTGTGAATAGCTACTAAAGTCAGTGAGAAATCCACCTGTTGAGCTTACACAGTGCTTGTATGTATTCTGAGGAACTCTAACTCTAACTCTCATTTTGCTAATATTTTCAACTGATTGTTTTACACAACAGCTGATGAGGTAGCTTTTTAGTCCTGACAGAGTCTGATGCATTTTTAATTTATATCAATCACTGTGGTTTTTAATGAGAAATAGGGAATAACTGAGAATATTACCCCTTTGTACTTGTGGCACAAATGGAATGGGGATCTGCAAAGATGAGTTGCAGGTTGCTCTATGCAACCTATATTCTGAGAAGTTTGTGTTGCAGAGCTGCAGAGGCTTACATCCTGCATATCTATGCACCCTGTAGCCTGAAGAAAGCAGACAATAGTTTCAGTGTTTTATGCCCTGACCCTCTCCCTAAATCTTGACACATTTGTTTCAGTTCTAACCTGTGAGTCAGTCTGATTTAGAGGCCAGCCAGGAAAGGCCCCTTCAGAGTGTGTAATTCTCTGTGGGTTATTTCTGCCCCATTTAAAATCACTTCATGCTAAGGGAGAGTAATAAAAGAGTTCCTGCATAATAGAGAATCAGGTTCAGGAAATCTGCTTGTGTCTCTCATCTGCCAGCAACAGAACTCATATGTTTCTTTTAAACACAAGAATGTTCCAAGGGGAAGAAAGTTAACCTATACCTTGCAATGTATGATTTCATTACAAAAAACCAGCTGGGGTAGATCATTTCCTGGACAAACATTATCAGAAATAATATGGTACACTAGGGCTGTTCAAAACGGGACCTATTTGATTCTGATTTGGCCCAAATCAGGGACAGTGATTCGATCCATTGATTCGGATCACTGTCCCTGACTCGATTCGGCCAAATCCGAATCTGACAATTCAATGCTGATTCAGCAAATCAGTGATTCAGGCACAGGCACAACTTTAAATGTTTTTTCTACATACCTCAAGGTAGAAGCGGGGCTTATGATCACTGTGGTGCTGGGACAGATGCAGTGTCCCACAACACCGCAGGGGGGCTCTCAAGCATGCTCAGCAGCAAACGCAGAAGGGGACCAGGAGTACTTCCAGTCCACTTCTGAGTCTGCTGGGAAGTATGCTGGGGGCCCCTGGCCTGGTGATCAGCCTCAGAGGGACCCTGGGTGCCCCTCCAGACCCAGGAGGCACCAGTCGCCGAGCTGGGGGGCATGGGGGTACCCCCAGTACACTTCCTGGTGGATCAGGAAGTGGAGCAGAAGGGCTTCTGGTCCACTTCCAGGTCTGCTGCCGAGCGTGCTGGGTACCTCTGCTACCTAGAGGTATGTAGAAAAAACATTCAAAGCTGTCTCTAAGTCCAAATGGCCAAAACTGTCCAAATCAATTCAGAGAGATTAAAGGGTCCTCTGAGTTGATTCGGATTTGGAGATTTGGCCACCGAATTGGGCTGAATCTCTGCCAAATCGAATCACAGACCAAAGCTTTGCACAGCCTTATGGCACACCTGCCCAAGGTCACAGCAGGAAAATGAGGCACTAATCACCTTGATGAATTGGCTGCCATAAAACAACCAAAATAGCCCTTAGTACAAGGCCCTGACTCAGGGTCCTTTATGCCTGAGAATCTTAGAAATGTAGCTCCTCAGTACTATGATCCTGGAATAATTTTATGGCAATTGTTCATGTTTGTTATTAAGATCTATAATTTCTCCCTTCTTTACCTGCGTATTTCAAGTGGTGGGTTCTGAAGGTAAGAGTAAGGACTTCTGTTGATCTGGCTGTTTTCTACCAAGCCTTTATTGATAAAAATCCTTCCTTTCCTCATATTCTGGTGTGCTATATCAATGCTCTGAAAATAAGAACAGCAAGAAACCCGGTGCAATAACAGCATACAAAGAAGCAAACATCCTTCTACAGCAAACATAAGGAGTCCAGACATAGAACAGTGAATAATTACACCTACATTAGATGATCTGAAAACTGTTGCACTTGTATTAACATACAATGTACCATAAAATTTTAGCAATTAGAACTTATGTCAGTCAAAATAATTAGTATTTTCAATTTATATTAAATCATCATTCTAAAGAAATGCTATAGCATTTTGTGGTGAGTTGACATAGCCTATAAATATCTATAATATTTTAAGCTGATGGTGTGAAAAAACATTAAAAACTAATACCCCAGTGAGAGATCTGGGCATGGAGTAAAAAGCAAAAAGTAATACACAGTTTTTCCTTCTTCACCCACTACTTTCTCATTTTAACTGAGAAAATTAACTTTTAACACCTACCTTGACAATGCCATTGACGATGGCTTTAAGGGATGGCTCAATAAGCCCCTTGCTAGTTATCAAAAAAAGCGTGAATTGGAAGTACCCAGCAGGCCCTGAATGGGTGTGAGTGCCACTCAATACAACATTGTCTTGTCTGTATAGATCCCCATATTTACTCTTCAGTTGACTGAGTACCTGAGGAGAAGATGACAGTTATTCCAGACTAATTTTCTAACATCTGAGAAGCTAGAGGATTTGCTAGTCCTTGCACTGAAGCAGTAATCCTGGATTTATTTTTATTTTTATAGTAGTATTAAAATATGCTTTCCCAAAGAGGAAAAAGTCCTTTAATCTTCCCCATCCCTGAAATACCCACATGTCCATGATAGAACAATAGGAAAAGTATCCCTCTATTTAGCTACAACCCCTTGATGATGTTAAACCTGGCAAATAAAAGCTGCTGTGATTTTTTTCTTTACAGCCAATCTTATATACTAAAGGGATTAGTCCGTCTGTCTCTTCATCCATAATACTCTTGGAGCACTCTGATTGGTTAGTGAAATAAGCAGAATATGAAGCGCTGCCATGATGGCGAGGCGGAGGGGACAGAGTGGTGCTAGCCTTGCCCCACCCCCTCCCCCGACTCTGCTCCTTGCTGGCCTTGCCCCCCCAATCATGGTGGTGCTCCACCACCTCCAAGGAGCAGGGCTGGGTGGGTAGGTGAGGCTAGCAGAGGGGGATGGAGGGGATGGTAAGACAAGCTTCCCCGCCCTGCTCCTAGGAGGTGGCAGTGCTGCAGGGTGGTGGGTGGCAGCGCTCCATCCCCACCTGCCCACCCCTCTATCCCATCATGCTTGATGAGCAATTTGTTAGTCTATAATAATACAGATTTATAATAAACTTATTCTGTCTGTCCAGAGAACTCTGATTTGTCATCCCGGCAGCCAATTACAATGCTTACTGAAACAACCAATCAGAGTGCTCCAGACAGACATAGTAAGCATGTTATTATAGATCCTGAGGCATTTCAAACAGATGTTCAGGCAAGTCAGAGCTAGAATGCAGCACCAGGGCACCCCCACTGTGGAGTGGGCAGGCTCCGCCGAAGGAGGGGGATAGTCCCAGTCCCCCTCCCTCCCCACCAGAGCCTGCCTGCCTCTCCTGTAACTGGGGGGTGAGCTGCCAGTGGGCCCTGAGCTGCAGTGGACCATGGTGCTTCTCTCCACAGCAGCAGCATGCCCCGAGACCACCCAGGCGGGGCGCCAGTAGATGGGCGCTACCTGGGGGAGAGAAGCACCAGGGTCCCCTGCAGCTCAGGAGCGGTACAATGCCACTGTTACTGTATTCGGTCAAAGGATAACTAAAAATCCTATATTTTAAGAAATACTTTTGCAATAAAAGTTTAATTGCAAATGTTTTGTGGGTTTCAGCTAGTATTGCTTATTTTCAGAAGGTATATGAAAATCACTCTGGGATTTGCCACCTTTTATTCTCCTTCCTTCCAGAATTCCTTATTTTTTGCCATTCTCTGCAGTTCAGTCTTATAAGGATTTTTAAGAAGCAGTTTAATTGCCATTTACAAGCCAGCACTAGCACTTTGGCTACTAAGAACACACTAGAGGCAAGAAAGCACCCAGTGTCACTAGGACCTGACCAGAATGCTGGGGGCATGATACTTGATGTTTTTGCTTTTGACTGGAAACAGGCTGTGATATCAGAACCTACTGTGAAATAGCAGCTATAAGCCATATGTTGTAATTTATCAGAGCAGAAAGCAATTAAACATATCTTTCCTTTAAAAACATTTCTAAAGGAATTTTCAGAACTTTTAACATCTTCTAAGAACATTACTACTATCATTAAATCCAACAATATGAATGATCCAAGTCAGGCGTGCTTTTGTGATAAGATTTCCAGTAATGCAAGCGTAATAAAACCTCACCCTTGTACACCAAGGAATTTTCAACTGCGTGCGCATCTTTTTGTGTCTGTTCAGTAATATGGCCACAAGGCCATTAAGGTAGGTTCTACCATTATTATTATTGAAAAACATCATGGCGTAAATTAAACAGAAGACAGAGTTTATTTACATACCTCTAATCTAAGTCTTTGGGATACCATCCCTATGTCAGCACTAACAAACACCACTCTTTTGGAATTATCAGGCTCGGCCACAATGAAAGCTCGACTGTACAGTCGTGACAGGATCCCACCAGCCAGCTGGTCAGGACTGGCATAACCCATCTAGAGAGAAACACAGTGCTAAGTCAATTCCACCTGGCTTAATTATTGATATATGTTTAATTGTAGAAATTTCTCCTAGCAAAATTATCATAAGGTCCATAAATATTACCCTAGCCTGTCACCTTATCGTAGAAGAAAATCAGGTTGGTTAAGCATGATTTGCTCTTAGTGAATTCATGCTGGCTGTTCCTGATGGCACTGCTCTTCTCTATGTGCTTCATAGTAGATTCTTTGAGGGCCTGTTCCATGATCTTTCTAGGTATCAAGGTCAAGCTAACTGGTCTGTAGTTCTCCAGATCCTCCTTCCCCCTCACCCACCACTTTTTTAAAAAAAAGATGGGCACTATGTTTGCCTTTTTCAGTGATCTGAAAGTAAACCAACACAAGTTCTCAAAGAGGATAGCCAATGTCTCCAAAATTACCTCTGCCAATTCTTGCAGTACCCTAGGGCGCCTCCCATCTGGCCCTGCCAACTTGAAAGCATCTAGCTTCTCTAAATAATACCTACCCTGTTCTGCTCAAGGCTGTCTTTCTCCTTCCCCCATCTTTGTTGCCAGGTGCATTCATCATCTGGTAATTGTCCTTATTAGTGAAAACTGAGGTAAAAAGCCTTCTGTAAATCATCCACAACTAAATTGAGTTCTGCATAGGAACCTATGGTTTCCTCTTACATTTGACATACTTGTAGAATCACTTTTATTGCCATTTATGTCCCTTGCCAGCTACATCTCAGATTATGCCTTGGCCTTCCTAATTTTCTCCCCGGATGCCTGTGAGATACTCTTATACTCTTGCCCTAGTACTAAGACCAAGTTTCCAGTTCTTGTAGGATTTTTGAGTTTCATCTCATTAAAGAGATTGCTGTCTACTCAGACTGGTCTCTGTTGCACTTCTATTCTTCTATTACATCAGGATAAGAAGGCCTTTTTAAAATACAGCCAACATTCCTGACTCCTCTTTGTCTTTGACTTGCCTCCTATGGGATCTTGCCCACCAGTTCCCTAGATTTGTTAAACTCTGCTTTTCTGAAGTTTGTTTTTCTGTCCTTATTCTGTCCTTGTTCTCCTTTCTTTCACCCCTTGCTATCTTGAATTCTATCATTCCATGGGCACTGTCACTCAAGTTACTGGTACTTTCCACCTTCACATTCTCAACCAATTCCTCCCTGTTTGTGAGCAGTAAGTCAAGAAGTGCTCCTCTCTAGTTGGCCTCTCCATCATCTGTATCAAAAAGTTATCCCCAACTTACTCTAGGAATTTGCTGGACTGCTTGTGCACTGCTTTTTAGAAGAAAAAGAAAATTCTCTCCTTGGTTTTACTATTTTCTGTTCAGTGAACACTAATGATTTAATACTTGGTGATTTGGAACATAAATGCAGCTGCAGCAGCTAGATGAAAAAAATTATCAACTGAGGCAATTTTTTTGAAGGACAGTTAATTAAGATAGTCATTGTATGCAGGAGTTGTACACTGGAATTAAGGCAGTCTTGCCCCACACAATATAAGGAGATCCATTTGTAAATTCAAATAAGTAGCCTTGTTGGATAACTGTGTTTCTAATCCCTGGGATTTAAAAGAATACATACCAAAGGGATTTCTGCAATAGGCCCAGTGCAATCAGCCCGGCCAACCCCAATTAAGTAGTTCTTTGAGCCAACAGTTGAAGGATGTTGAGTTGATGTGAAGTTGTAACCCGGGCTAGATGTGGATGTTGACACTAAATGATTGAACATAAAAAATCAAACAGTTGTTTTTACTTTAAACAATTCAGCAAGAAGGAATTGATTTATCATGCAAGTCTTCCAGTATAAAAATGAGTAGCTCCAAACAAATAGATACATATATTTTATAAACACTACAGGAAGCTCATTTTGATATCAGGTTCAAAGATGGTACAGCTCATAGCCACGTTTGACAGAACATCCTATGGGATATGTAGAACTGCAGATCCTTGCCATTGGAACAAGAAACGATGGCACTGCAAATAGGATGAAGGGAGTTAACAATATGCCAGTCTCTGAACCTCCTTCGATATTTGGTTAGCACCGGTGTAGTTCACTACCACAAAAAATATTTAGGTTGAGTTCCTGAGAGAGGCAGCACTAGTCCACAGGGGGTTCCCCCAATAACCAGTTTGGGGGTTTTTTTAACTGTATGTTGTGCATAGCTTTCCATACCTTTGTATATAGAACAGTCCAAATCATGAGCCATGGCAAAATACTGTATTTTTAAAAATGCTTCTTCATAATGCCTAACTTCTAAACTTTTCTCTTGGTAGCTTATATGCAGCTGTGCCTTGTCAGGGCAAAATATTCTGGCATACCGAAACAGAGAAGTTTTGGGTAAACTGAGTTAAATATGAAAATTAAAAACTGGGGGGCTACCAGACTGACTACTATTCAGTTTGACACTTACCTCTACAACAAGCAAATGGGAAACTAAATAGTTCTAGACATGATCATTCTCTGTCTAACCTATATTTTAAAACTCCCAAAGATGGAAATTTCACAGCCTCTCAAGTTGTTTGTTCTTGTGCACCTGTATAACTAGAAAGTTCTTCCTCATATTTAATCTAAAGCTCACTTTTTGCTTTTTAAGACTGTTACTTCTTGTCCTATCCCTCCTGGACACAAAGAATAATTGATCACCTACAACCTCTTTTTAAGAAACTTGGGGTTTTGGGGCGTTCTTTTGTTTTTTTAACTCAAAAGCTTATCAACACCCCATTCAAGTACTTACATTCATATTTGCAGCTCTTGTCTGTGAAGCATTCCCTGATCCTAAAATCCTTCTGGATTAAGAGCTCCTATGGTTTGTGAACTAGGTATCAGAATAACTAAGCAATTTACCATTGTTTATTTCAGATGTGCTCTTGTCAGAGACAAAGTGGAGAACTAGGAGGGTCACTGTAACTGCCGTCATCAACACCAAGAGAACAATAAGTATCACCTCCAAACAAGAAAACGTGGTTTTGTCTCTCTTCCCCATTGTGGGAACAAGCTGCAAGAGAAAAAGAAGCTAAGAAAGAAAAAAAGAGCCCAGAATGCTAGTGCCAAGTCAGTTGTCCATAAGCAACCTTATCCAGATATTAGAGCTAAATTAGTAACAGACACCTTCCCTTCAGGAATCTCCTGGCTCACCAGCTGGATGTTTAAACAGGGACTAGATTAACGGTTCCCAACTTCCTTGACTTCAAGTTATCCTGTTGTAGACTCAAGGCAGCTCTTAGAAAATGCCAGTTCTTAGCTTTCATTTCTTTTTTTGACTACAGAAAATAATAGGAAAATTCTTCTGTTGCAAAAAGCTCAGAAAGACCACAACAGGTCATAAAGTTTTTAACACCGTAAGTTCCTATTTGAAATCTCTGGGTTTATCACATAAATCATGCTTGCACACCAAACAGTACTAACATTATGTGGCACATGTGAAAGGCTCTCGAGGCACACCAGGCTGGCACCCTGGTTGAGAATCAATGGACTAAATCCACAGTTCCCTGACCTTTAAAATCTTTCCTTCAAAGATGTTTAAAGCCCTTCACCAGATCCTGCACTGCATCTGTGGATCATCTTGTAGCTTGAAACCTAGTGGCACTTCCTGCTGTGCATGCATCAGAACACATCTGAAAATACTAGAAATCATTGTGCAAATATTTTTTTTCCCCAAAAATCAGAGACACTGCAAGGTGCTAAATGGAAATAAAGCAAAATGCATGTTGGTTTGTTTAATGGGGCACAAACCAATGCCCTGTTTAACTGGGCACAAAGCAAAATTCAAATGCCAACTTCAGCAACCTCCTTTGGAAAATGCAGGGATTGTGATGGACTTTTTTTTATTTCTTTCACTATAAAAGCCCTAAATGTTATACTCAGCTCTCCAAACAATGCGCAAAGACCTAGGATAGAAATAAGTTTTAAAAAATGACTGGGGGTTGCATAGGAAAACAGAAGTTGATACTGAAAATGGTTTTGCTATCTCAGTTGTTATAAGAATACAAACCTTTTATTTTAACTTTATTTGCTGAAATTATTTGAATTAAAATCATCTTAAAGTTAAGCTATTTTGCATTGTACTTAAGTTTATCTCTCTGTGCAAATATTTGCTGCATCAAATTTCTGCCACCATCATAATTATAAATTAAAACTAATTGGAGATGATTACCTTTCATTAATAGGTCAGTCAGTGTACGAGCAGGTTTTTCTTTTGGTAGTGTGTGACAGATTTAAAACAACAGCTGTGTGCAGGCTATCTTCATTGCTGTAAGGACTTTGAAATGTTATTGTATTGCTCATATTTTCACAGTGTTACCTGACGATACACATAGTCTCAGTAGTGCTTTCCTAATGGAGCTGATAACCTTTGTTCAGCATGAGTGCCCCCACCCCCCACCTTGGAACAGAGCTGACATTTTCTGGAAGAGGGCTTTGAGCAAAGAGATGCCTCTTGTCACATCTAGGACAAGTTATGAGCCTCTGTACATGGCTCCCTAAGAACTTCTTAAGTTTTAATATAATCACTGAGGATGCCATTCCCAGTGGGCATACTCCAACCCTCACAGCTCCTACCTGTGGCTGGACTGCGTTTGCACCATCCCCAGTTTCAGGTTTCCTTCTCCCAGTCCTATTGCCAGGCTCCCCACCATATCCCATTGCATCCTGAAGCAACCATTGCCTGGAAAGTCCTGGTTTGCCCCATAGCTCAATGGGGGTGGTGAATATGCATTCTAGTCACAGGTAGGGGCTGTGAGAGTTGGAGCTAGCTCACTGGGAAAGGCATCTTTAGTGATTTTATTATGGTAAAATTTAATTAATTTCATCAGATGATTTGATGAAAAATGCCTTCATTCCAAAGCTTGTCTAACTTTATCCCAACCATACAGTTGGTCCAATAAAAAGTATCACCCACAAAAATCCTTGCCTCTTACATAATGTGTTCTTAAAACACAGCAATGATAGATACTTTATGAAACAAGCCTATTGATCAATCTGATTTACTATATAACATTTACGTTTTCCACCCACAACCTCTGAAATAAAACAATCATAGTGTCATACCTATATTTTGCAAAAGGTTTTAGAAATCATAAAAAAGGTCCTAATATTAAGAGCTTCTTGGTTTTGCTCTTCTAAACTTACATCTTGTTTTAGAAATTCACATGTAAAACTTGACATTCAATGCCCTAGTGCAGTGGACCAGCCAATGAACTGTATCATTAATAATCCAACTCATAAATGCATAGTGGGGAGATGTAAAAATGAGAGGTAATCAGTTTTTTCAAGGTAATGAAAAGCAATATGCTGAAAGAAAAAAAATTGGCTAGTAACAGCCAAGTCTAGTAGTAGAGAATTTTACCTTACAGCACAGTGTAACAGGGGGCCCACCTCACTCGCCTGCCCTGCCTTGTTGTTCAATAATGAAGTTCTAATTAGGCAGGCAGCTGCCCATTTCCTGCCCTGATGCCAGGGGGTGCTATCTGCAGCTCCGTACCTCCCCTACACCACAACGAATACCTCGCAGGTGGCATCCAGGTGACACAATGCTCCCAGCCTACAGCTGGACCAAACTTAGCCCTCATTGTCAGGCCTCTTTCTCACACACATTCATACCACCCTCCTCTCACTAGGGACTTTCACACTCTGCCCCCTCTCACAGGGTCTCTTTTACGCATTGACAATTTGTTCCACCCTGCTCCCTCTCAGAGCGGGTCCTGTAGGCCTTAGGTTTTCTCTAACTCATGCCTTGGGTGGCAGACATACCCTCTTTTGGGCCTCTCCCACGACCCTCACCGGGGTAGTGGCCAGCCAATTTCCTGACCTGGGCCAAGCTTGCCCTGGTCCCTCCTGGGGCAACTTTACAGAAACTTATACACACACACACCGGGCTCTCATCCCTCTGGTTCCCCCCTCACTGGGGCTCCACACTTCTACCCCTTCACTGAGACTATGGGGTTTCCCTCCCTGGTGGAGGCTCAGGTGGCCATAGGCATGTCTGGCCCTGACTTATACCCACAGCTTTGTGGGGGCTAGGAGTTATTGAGGCACCCCGACCCACCTTCCACCAAGGTGGTAACCAGCCTGACATTTCCTAGGTGCTCCTGCACCACTGGGAGCCCCACCAGACCACTCCTGGCAGGGTGCAGTTTTAGGTCATGCCTAGGACCAAGAGCCCCCTTCCTGCTCCTACCTGCTAGATGTTCCATACAGCAGTTCAGCCAGCTGATATTTCTGCCTGACCTGACAGCAGCAATCTTCGCTGTTTAAATAGGCAGCCAGTTGCTCAAAATGGCTGCTGCAATCAAGCACCTGCTGGCTGCTTGGCTCAGCCCTTAAAGTGGTAGGCACCAACAGTGCCCTTCCACACACAGCTTATTAAAGATTTCATAATTCTGGAAACTCAAATAACTCCTTTGCAAACTTTTCAGTATTAGCATCCTGTGTCTTTTTTTCATGAGCTTCTAGAACCTTCCAAAGCCCAAAGGAAACCCAGGACATTTACAATATAAATCTATAGCCTTATTGCAACTATTATTATAACTCCTGTGAATCAGACACAGTACAAGGTAAGAACTACATAGGTCATTATTTTCTTATCCTGGGGGAAATTTTATTTATCTCCAAATTACAATTTTTTTCTAGCGCTGCAACAGTCACTTTACCTTCTAATGATCTTGAATTCCCTGGAAAGGGCTTTCTTTTTTTCTGTCTCCCCTTGTGTCTTATTCTCCTTGGATTGAGCTCCTCTAACCATCCAGGTAAATTTTTAATCCTGTTGAAAGGTCCAGTCATCTCTGGATGCCCCTCCCAACCCCAGCCAGCCATCTCATTTGCTCTTGTACTGTCCAGTGTGGCATTGCTGGGCAGCTAGATTGGAGTCACAATGAAAAGCGTCTCTGACTGGTGCAGTGTGGAATTATATCTCCCCTCTGCTTTTAGCTCAAATAATTCATTTTCATTTTTAAAAACACATCTTGGAGTGACTATCATTTTACATCATGAATAGCAGGCCATTAGCCTGTTCAGTAGGGTTCAGTAGGGTTAGGATCAGGATAAAAATGGCCCCCAATCTAAGGTAAACTGGGGTATGGAGTGGGGTGGGCAGGATGTAGTTGCTAATGTGGGGGGGTTGGGGAGATGAGAGGGGCAAAGGGGATCTGAAGGGTGGGCTGGTGGGGTTGAGAAGGGTTTTGCAGGACCAGGGGAACTAGCAGGGTCCATAAGAGTGGTTGGGGAGATTGAGAGGGTTGGTGGGATTGGAGAGGCTCTCTAATCCTGCCAACCCTCCCCCCTGAACCACCAGCACCCTCATTGCTGCTGCACTGCACCCCAAAATGTACTGCACTCCCTAATCCTGCAAGCTGCTCCTGGGGAGGGTTGGTGGGATTGGTGGGGCTGGCAACTCCACAGGAGGGGTTGGTGGGATTACAGAGACTCTCTCCCTCCACAGGACCAGGGGCTATTTTTAGCCATTCAGTCCCCCACCACCACCCACCCACTTGGCAAATAACCGTCTCAGTGAACCAACCCCCCACCAATCCTGCCTGCTCTTTCCCCCATCCTGAGATACTTCCATCAGATCCTGGCACTAGCAAATGCTGATAAAACTAGCACCAGGAGCAGCTTGCAGGACTGGGGGGACTTGGTGGGTTGGGGGAGGGGCTGGCTGGCCTGTGGGAGGTGGCACTGTCCATCTAGGGGTTGGTGGGGTGAGAGGAGCTAGAGAGGTAGGAAAAGTACAGCCCTGGGGCTGGGGCCAGTGGCTGGGTTTTCCCAACCCCAGGGCTGCACTGGGAACTGTACAGAAGTTCAGTTAGGTTGGTCTAGCTGTTCCCAGTCTAACTTAGTGTATATTTAAGGTACAGTTAAATCAAATTGGTCATTTTTTGACCAGTCTAACATGCCCGGAATTTCTGTACAGCTCACACTTAGATCAACCTAGCTGGTGATCTAAATGTAAGAGTGAGCATGTGAGCAGACTAAATTAGATGAGGTGGC